AAAACATTGTTTATTTCAATAAAGAATCAGGGTTGAGTATGAAATAATGAATTTCAGAGTTCTGGGACGTAATTTTTAAATGAATCTTATTAAAAATTGACAAAACATACAATGAACTCTAGTTAAAAGCATTTTATTGATTACAATATCAATTCACAGCAATATTTCACAAAGCAACTATACAAGGAATGAACCAGTATATGAAAGATCTATGAATATTGTTAAATCATGGCACATATCCAGTTAAGATTTAAAGCTTTAGCATGTTTACTTATATATTAGACATACTACTAACAGTTTATCACCAAGTGTGCAAATACTACTCTAGGTCAAGAAAAACATTTTCAAAATACCTTAAGAGTAAAATATTTTAAGCAACATTAATGCCATTAAACTATGGACACCTTTGAGAAAATGCAAATGTTCAAATGCTTGTTTGAAAAGAAAACAGTAAGAGCACCATAGTGAAAGGTGGACTACCGAATATAACCACTCAGATTCTATTAGCCAAAAAATATTGTATGATGTAAGATTTTGCTGGGTACATATAACACTATTTGAAACAATAAGATTTTCCCCTATAATGCTTGTCATAGGTTTATTCACAAAATCAGTCACTGAAAAAGACGTAGAAAAATGTATCAACATGCAAACATATGTTAAATACAGAAATTACCATCCATATAGGGTTAACAAATAAGTAGCTACTATAATTGATACTCAATAATATACCACTGATTCTGAAGTAATTCAAGTTAAGAAAAGTGAACCTAAGGTATACAGAACATTTTACCTAGTTAATTTAAGATTGGTTTTGCTCACTATGCTACTCTTATATAGTGTCTGCTATGGGTAGCTTATTACGTCTAATAAGACATAAACAGTTTAAAGAAAGACAGGTAGAGTTAAATTTAATTTAAAACTTTTTAAAATCCTAGCTACTCAGGAGACATAGACCGGAAGACTGCAGTTTGAAGCCAGCCTGTGCAAGAAAGTCTGATACTCAACTCCAATTACCTCCAAAAAGCCAGAAGTGGAGCTGTGGGCTAAAGTGGTAGACCACTAGCCTTAAGCAAACAGCTCAGAGATAGCACCTTGACCCTGAGTTCAAACTGCAGGACTAACAAAAAACAAAACATAAAAAAAAAAACCTGACAATTGTAAAAAAATTCTTACAAGAACATTCATTGCTAAAACCATGACAGCCTGCCTGGTAGATTGTTTAGTTATTATTTTTCTCCATCAAGCTAATCAACAAGAAAGAAGTATTGTGTTATTATTTAAAATCTATGACATTCACATCAAAGCATAAATTTCCCTGCACAATGAAAATGTGCCAAAGTGAAACTTTTAAGACAGTGTTAATTATTAAGATACCAGTGTTAATTATGAAGATAACAGGGTTGGAGGAAGTAATAAACACAATAGCATATTTTTAGCAATAACATATGAAAATTTCTTTCATATCCCAGAAGCACTACCATCCATTATTTCATGGAGACTACTTTTGTATCACCATGATATTTATTAACCTGCTTATCCAAGTCAATTAAAATGAAAATTGCTTTTTAGACTCCCTTGCTCTTGAAATATTAAGCTCAAAACTTTGTCTCTACACATTTCGAATTAAACATTAGCTAAGGAGGGACTTTGGATATTTAGTCTGAACCTAATAGCACAATCCCAAAGTTGAGGCCTGTTTATCAAAGTGTGAAATCCTTGATGCTGTCTTGAGTGAAGCTTTTGGATACCCACCTCATGGTGAGTTCAGTTGTTTTTTGTTTTTGGTGCCAGCAGTACTGGGGCTTGAACTCAGCCTCACTGCCTTCTTAAGCTTTTTGTTTTTGGTCATGGAGCTTGAACTCTGGGCCTGGTCACTGTCTTTGAGCTCTCCAACTCAAGCCTAGTGCTCTACCACTTGAGCCACAGTGCCCTTCAGTTTTCTGGTGTTTAACTGGAAATAAAAATCTCATGGACTTTCCTGCCTGGGCTGGCTTTGAACCGAGATCCTCAGTTCTCAGCCTCCCGAGTAGCTAGGATTACAGGAGTAAGCCACTGGTGCCCAGCTCTTAGCTTTCTTGGCTGGCACTCTACCACTTGAACCACACCTCCACTTCCAGCTTTTTGCTGGCAAGATTTGTCGCCTATGTGTTGCCCAGGGAGGCTTTGATCTGCAATCTGTAGATCTCAGCCTCCTCAGCAGCTACAATTATAGACCTGTACCCAGCTATAATTACATTCTTTTAGAAAAGAGTATGTGCCTTTAAAATTTTAGTCTTCTCAAAGGCAGTTCTTGTGGTACATACCTGTGAGCCCTAGCTACTCAGGAAGCTGAGGAAAGATGAGAGGCTGAATTTGAAGCCAGCCTGGGCCACATCACACAGTGAAACTATCTTGAGAGTGTTGGGAGGAGGAAGAGAGAAGCTGGATCACAAAACCTACATTTTGACATCAATCTGCTGGGGCACATTGTTTAAATGTTTCATAAAATGGTGAAAAATAAAAATTAATAGATATCAATAACTGCATGCTCTTGATGCAACTTCTTTACAACTAAACTAGCCTTATTTTCAAACATTAAAATCCAAACTACACAATGTAATCTACAAATTATACATTCTTATTTTAGAAAGTCTTAAGCAGTACAGAATTAGGCAATAGCTAAACTGCAAGTAAATACATTTAGCAACTCACATTACTATAAAGCTAGGATTTAACTAGTAAGATGATTGTAGAAATAAAATTGATTACTTTGTCACCAGTCAGTTCTGTGGACAATTAGCTATAAATGTTCAATAGTGGTTGGTTTTCGCCTGGTATGTATGGAAATTATTTTCTTCACAAACTCTAATAACATGAGTTATTTTTAAAGAATTTTAAGACCATACAATTCTAGTCTATATTATGCCTTTCTAACCAGATTATTGCATTTTATAATAATTTTAAGCAGAAGAGTGCATATGTAGGTTGAGTGTGTGTGTTTTAAAAAGTAATGGGAGGGCTGGGAAGGTGGCTCAGTGGTAGATCGCTTGCCTTGCATGCTTGAGGCCCTGAGTTTGATTCCTCAGCACCACATAAGCAAAAAGAAAAAAGCCTAAGTGGCGCTGTGGCTCAAGTGGTAGAGCACTAGCCTTGAGCTGAAGAGCTGAGAGACAGCGCCCAGGCCCAGAGTTCAGGCCCACGATCAGACCCCCCCCAAAAAAAAAACAGAAGTATCCCCTGTTGGATAATATGTTTAAAATATGCCTTATTTTAGGCTGGGAATATAATGCGGTGGTAGAGCATGCATAAGGCCCTGAGTTTTGTTCCCAGCCCCACAAAAAAAAAAAAGATTAGTGAAAAGAAATAAAATGTACATTATCAAAAAGCTGTACTTTATGAAGTGATACAGTTCACAAGCATTTAAAAAAATCCCAAATACAAACATACTCACATATACCCTCTAAAATATTAGTTTGCTTTTATAGTTTGTCTCATTTTATTCTCTAATATCCATTGACCTTAACAAAATTAATACTGATATGTCATTAAATTTGGTGTATGTATCTGCACATACACAACATAAAACTGAAAATTCACAGGTAAAAATTTGTGAGTAGGTTAGGGTTACAGATGATCAAAAGTTAACACAGAACTATCTCAACAGTAACATAGTTTGCTAAGTTACAAAGCACCATGCACCTGTACATATCAGAATAACCCGTAACTTTAGTATCAAGCAAGACTAACAAACTTCTATTGTCAATCATTTACATTATTTTGTAGGAGAAAAGGTATCTTTATTTAAATTAGGAAGGTGTGGAATTCTCATAAATACATTACTATTCCATTCATAAACATTGTAAGTGCTTGATAAAGTTCTCTTCATTTTAAAATGGCTTTAGGAATTTTTTGGATTAAAATGAGGTCACTGAAATCTAGATATTCTTTGAAACAAAACCTCTTGAAAACCATTATTTTGTGCTAACGAGAAAAATACTACAGAAGAACATAAAGCTTGAGTGCTTTTTAAAAGAGTTGAAGAACTAGGGTGTACCTTAGTGATAGAGCATTTACCTAGAATTCACAAGGCCCTGGATTATGCCCCAGCACTTGAAGAAAAAAAAAAAGGAGGGGCAGAGGGAGAAGGCACAAATAGTTTACCTCAATTCAGATTTTATCCTCAGTTCATAAAGCCACCTTGTTACAATGATAAATGAATCCTAGTGAATCTACACTTCTCCCAAATTGTTCATGCTGATTTCCTACATCCATTGCCTGATTATGAGCAGGTGGACTGCTAGCATACCAAAGGATCTGCAAGAAAATGATTAACTCCTCTCAGAGATATGTTACCTGTTAACCTATCAACACTTAACTATTAAGCAATTGAGATCTCTTGTTTGGGTTTGGTTTTGTTTTTTTTTTTGGGGGGGGTGCCTATTCTGGGGCTTGAACTCACACTTTCATTTGGCATTTTCAAGAATCTCTTTTAGATTAATAAGCAATGGCAAAATTCAAGGAGACTTCTTTCTTTTTTTTTTTTTTTCGGTTGTGGGGCTTGAACTCTGGGCCTGGGCACTGTCCCTGCACTCTTTAGCTCAAGGTGAGAGCTCACTGCTAGAGCCACAGCACCTCTTCTGCTTTTCTAGTGGTTTTTATTGGAGATAAGAGTCTCACTGACTTTCCTGCCGGGGCTGGCTTTAAACCGTGATCCTCATATCTCAGCCTCCTCAGCTAAGATTACAGGCATGAGCCACCGGTGCCTGGCTAGGAGACTTCCTTAAAACACACACAGAGTACCTCTCCTATCCATTATTGTGCCTTAATTACAAAACTCAAAAACGTGATATTTCTTATGCATACAAAGTTAAAGATGCAAACACACTGACCATCTACTATAAAGTGTTCATTCTATTCCATACTAAGAAATAATTATTCAGCAAAAACTAATCCATCAGTTAACCCAAATCCTAAAATTAATATACTGGTTCTTTTATCTCAGCAGGTACCTTTGTCTTGTAGTTCACTGAAAGTTCCTTTTTACATTTAATAATCTCAGTAGAAAAAAATCTTCACCTGCAAATATAAGGTAGAATTTTTTTCACAGCTCTAGGCTGCAGCATTGACTTCTTCAGATATCAATGAAGAACAAAAAATACATATGACACATTTAATTCCAGATTCTCAGAAAACTATCCCAAGATCCTGTTGCCACAGCCATGCCATCGTCAGTTACACCTAAACAGCTGACACGGTTGTCATGACCAGCAAGAACACCTAAAAATAAAAGTACAAAGTTAGTAACTGAAGGAAATACATACTTACTTGAAGTATGCAATAGTGAGCACCTGTCACCCCAGCTATAAGAGGGTACAGGTAAAAGCACTGTAGTATTAGGCATAGCCTAGGCAAAAAAACAAATCTTTTTTTTATTTATTTTTTATTTGTGAACATACTGTACAGAGGGGTTACAATTACATGGGCAGGATAATGCGTACATTTCTTACCAAGCATTGCAGCCTCCTCCTTTGGTTTACCCTTCACATCCCTTCCCAGCCTCCCCCCTCCCCCCCAATCCCAACCCTTCTCCTCCTCCCCCTCCCCCCCCGACCGACGTTGTAAAGCTCGTTTTGGACATGACAACTTATACTTCTCGTTGTTGCATCAGGTCCACCTGTATCCTTAAACAACTGAAAAAAACAAATCTTAAGACTCCATCCAAAAAAGAAAGCAAAAATGAGTAGGGATATGGACTAAAAATTTCAAGGCCACAGTTCAAGCCTCAGTACTGCCAAAAATAATCTGGGGTTCACTACTAAATATCCCCATGCTGCAGATCACATGTATGGTGTATATGTGTACACTGTTATAGACCGTGATAGACAATTTGCTCCAGAAAAGTTAGAATGAACTTGTGACTTTAAATGAGCATCATTATTCCACAATACTGTGAAATTTGGGAAATTATGTAATCACTTAATCACAATTAAAAAAAAACAAAGCCTCGGGGAAGGTAGGGAGGGAAGGGATGGTAGGGAGAAAACAATGGAGGGGGTAACGATGCTCAATAGGAAGTGTACTCATTACCTTGCTCATGTAACTGTAACCCTCTGTATAGTATCTTTACAATAAAAAATTTTAAAAAAAGAAAAAGAAAACGAACCTTACAATGTCGGGGGGAAGGAGTTGGGGAGGTGGGGCAGGGAAGTGATAGTAGGGGGAAAATAAAGGAGGAGGTAACAATGCTTGTTATGAAGTGTACTCATTACTCTACTCATGTAACTGTAACCCCTCTGTACAACATTTTTATGATAAAAATTAATAATAATTTTTAAAAAGCCAAAAAAAATAATCTGGGTTCACACCTATGATACTAGCTACTCAAAAGGCTGAAATCTAAGAATATCAGTTCAAAGCCAGCTGAGGCAGACAAACCCAAGAGACTTTTATCTCCAATTAACTAGCAAAAAAATGAAAGTGGAGGTGTGGCTCAGTGGCAGAGTGCTAGCTTTCAGCAGAAAAGCCAATAAATTTCATATGACAAGAGATCTTGAGTTCAACCCGCCCCACCGCCAAAAGCACAAAATTATAATAATCTAAAATAGGAATATGTTTATCCTGCATTTCTCATGAGTTCATATTCCAATTTTACTACTTTATTTATTCATTTATTCATTTATTTATTTATTGGTCGTGGGGCTTGAACTCTGGGGTTGGGTGCTGTCCCTCAGCTCTTCAGGTCAAGGCTAGCACTCTACCACTTGATCCACAGCACCACTTCTGGTTTTCTGTGGTTTTCTGGAGAGTAAAGTCTCACGGAGGTTCCAGCCTGGGCTGGCTTCAAACCTCGATCCTCAGATCTCAGCCTCCTGACTAGCTAGGATTACAGGCTACTTTAAATTTTTTAAATGTTTTTATTATATTTATTATAGAGCTTAATCTTTACAGAAAACAAAAAATGAAATATGGAAAAATGATGAAAATATGGGGGTGAAATCTACCAACACTGTACTCATAAACTGATTTGTTAAATGATACACCCTTTAAAGATAATAAGATTATAAAAAATACTGTGGACTGCAGCTGTACTTGTCCAAGGGGAAACACTGTTCAAACACTGTCCATGGGGGTTTTGGAAAACTATTTATGGTAACCTCTTCAGGCTTCTTCTTTTTCCTTTTTTTCCTCCCCCCACCACCTCACCCCCGCCTTCACCCAGAACTGAGGCTTGAACTCAGGGCCTGGGTGTTGTCCCTGAGCTCTTTTTTGCTTTAGCTAGCACTCTACCACTTGAGCCACAGCCCCACTTCTGGCTTTTTCTGTGATTAATTGGAGATAAGAGTCTCACAGACTTTCCTGCCTGGACTGACTTCCAACTATGATCCTCAGATCTCAGGCTCCTGAGCAGCTAGGATTACAGGCGTGAGCCACTAGCACTAGCTTCATACTTTTTTTGTTTGTTTGTTGTTGTTGTTGTTTGCTGGTCATGGGGCCTGAACTCTGTGCCTGGACGCTGTCCCTCAGCTCTTCAGCTCAAGGCTAGCATCCTACCACTTGAGCCACAGCACTACTTCTGGCTTTTTCTGCTTATGTGGTGCTGAGGAATTGAACCCAGGGCCTCACGCATGCAAGGCAAGCACTCTACCACTAAGCCACCTTCCCAGCCCTGGCTTCATACTTTTTAACACAACTGTATTTGACCTTCTTGGTTTAATAGGTTCCAGGTTTTACTAATAACTACCCTTTTAGAGGTTCTGCAGGTTGTGAACTCAGCATTTTGAGATTTAGTTAATGAACACCATGTAGCTCACAAACTTGTTGCCGTTACTTGCTCTCATCTTCTCACTGTCCTGTGGGTTTATGTTTTTGTCTTTTAAACCTTTATGCAATTGTTGGAGTTTCTGAGAGAGTATTCTTGATAATCAGAACCCAGTGTGGACTTATTTACTAACCTGCACGATCACCTTTTAGCGTGTCCCACACATTACAATTAAAGTCATCATAACCAGCTAGCAGGAGGCGCCCACTTTTTGAGAAGGCAACAGAAGTGATCCCACAGATGATATTGTCATGAGAATACAATAACAACTCTTGGTCTGCACGGAGGTCAAAAAGTCGACAAGTAGCATCATCAGAGCCGGTGGCCAAGGCATATCCATTTGGGAAAAACTAGAAGGAAAACAATAAACATCTTTTACAAGGATGTACACACAAAATATGGGATACTGTGTCATTCATAACAGAGTTGGGAATGAGGCAGATCTGAATTCAAATTCCAAATTTGCTACTTCCTGTATGAGTGATCAAGGGCCCTTTTTGGGTTTTTTTGAGACAAGGTCTCCTTCCATAACCTCAGCTGGCCTTAAACTAGTAATTCTCCACCCTGCCTGGGTACGCTTTTTAAATATTCCGGGCTGAATATATGATATTCGAAAATACACAGCCTACTCATAGCAAGCATAAATAAATACTGGCTCTAACCCTTACTAAAACGTTTTAAGTAATTTAAATTAATAATTACTAATGATATATGTAAATATATGCATTTACATTCCTAAAGAAATACAAACTGCTACTATAAGAAGTAAATAGGACACTATGTTGAACAATGAACTTTACAATTTAGGTGTGGGGGGGAAGGGGTTGTGGAGGTGGGAGTGAAGGGATAGTAGGGGAAAAACAAAGGAGGAGGCAACAATGCTTGATAGTAAATATACTCATTACCTTGCTCATGTAACTGTAACCCCTCGGTACAGTATTTTTACAATAAAAAAACGTATTGAAAAAATCAAAAAAGAAGAAGAAGTAAATAGGAAGCTGAGCGCTGGTGGCTCACGCCTGTAATCCTAGCTATTTAGGAGGCTGAAATCTGAGGATCATGGTTCAAAGCCAGCCCGGACAGGAAAGTCTGTGAGACTCTCATCTCCGATAAACCACTCAGAAAACTGGAAGTGGTGCTGTGGCTCAAGTGGTAGAGTGCTAGCCTTGAGCTGAAGAGCTGATGGACAGCACCCAGGCCCAGGGTTCAAGCCCCACGACCAACCAAAAAAAAAAGAAAACAAATAGGAAAAACTTCATAAAAGATAACATAAACTGGACCCTGGAGGCTCTCACCTGTAATCCTAGCTATTCAGGAAGCTGAAATCTGCAGATTGAGGTTTGAAGCCAGCCTTGGCAGAAAAGTCCAAGAGACTTTTTACCTCCAATTAATTAACAAAAAGCTAGAAGTGGAAGTGTGCCTCAAGTGGCAGAGCACCTGCCTTGAGCAAAAAAAAACAAGTGAAAGTATGAAGCCCTGAGTTCAAGCCCTAGTAACCACACAAAAAACAAACATGAAACATTTCAATTATTATACAAAACTGGGCAATAAAGAATCTATACAGGATTAGTTCATAAATAATAAATATTTCTCAGATACTGTCACTATTCCACACTGATTTGCTGCTGCTGTTGTTGTTGTTGTTGTCTGTCAGTTGTAGAACTCAAGCTTAGGGCCTATGCACTGTCCCTGTGCCTCTTTGTGCCCAAGGCTAGCACTCTACCACTTCAGCCACAGCACCACTTCAGTTTTTTTGAGTGGTTAACTGGAAATAAGAATCTCACATGGACTTTTCTGCCCAGGCTGACTTTGAACTTCCATCGTCAAATCTCAGCCTCCTGAGTAGCTATGATTACAAGCGTGAGCCACAAGCACTTGGATGATTTGTCTTTTATAGAGTACTTCATGAATTCATCATTAAAAAATTTACATGTCTCCTTCCACTTGGACTGTCAGTAGTAATGTCTCCCTTTGTAGAAATAAAATTAATATAAACGTCTTTTTGTTGCAGCATTATTTCATGGTTTATCACTTGTAGTAAAAAGTATACAGCAGTTTTAAATTTCTGTATTGTAAATTTATCTTTCCCTTTAAAGATGCTTGATGAGTAAAATCTTTCCCAGGTTGTAACTGGTTTATGGTATACACTTCTTCAGATTTCATTTTCCACATCTTTATTTTTATCCATCTGGAACTTATTTGACAAACAACAGTCAGTGTAAAAATCAAACTTAATTTTCTTTTCTTTTGCCAGTCTTGGGGCTTGAAATCTAGGCTTGGGCTCTGTCCCTGGGCTGCTTTTGCTCAAGGCTAGTTCTCTACCACTTGAGCCACAGCACCACTTCTGATTTTTCTGAGTAGTTTACTAACGCACTTTCCTGCCCAGGCTGGCTTTGAACTGTGATCCTCAGATGTCAGCCTCCTGAGTAGCTAGGATTATAGATATGAGCCACCAGCACTTTCTTAATAAACAACCATTCCAGCTATGAATTAATATTTTTTATTGATTTGCTGCTCCATAGTGACTATATTCTTGGAAACACCTTTATTGGTTTTGTTCTGTTTTTTGTTTTTGTTTTTTCATACTAGAAATCGACAAGGGCTATATACATGCTAAGCAATCACACTACCACTGAGCTATACATACCACCAGCCTTAGGGTTTTAAAATAGGTAGCAGGCCACTTTGGAAAGCAGTATGAAGGTTCTTCAAAAGACTCCACATAGAGCTCCCCTATGACCCAGCAATCCCTTTTTGGGCAAATGATCACAAATAAGACCATACTAAAGTTACCAGCACAACTATGTTTATTGCAGCATTATTTACCATAGCTAAGATATGGAACCAACCCAGATGCCCCTCAGTAGATGAATGGATAAAGAAAATGTGATATATATATATATATATATATATATGTATATATAATATATATAAAGAAATTCTATCCCTCCATCAAAAAGAATGACATTGCAGAGTTCGACTCCTCAGCACCACATAAGCAAAAAGAAAAAAGCTGGAAGTGGCACTGTGGCTCAAGTGGTAGAGCGCTAGCCTTGAGCTGAAGAGCTGAGGGACAGCACCCAGGCCCAGAGTTCAGGCCCCATGACTGGACCAAAAAAAAATTATAAATAAATAAATAGGCTGCAGGGATATGTTATTTTCTCAATGGAATGTATTTCTGGCTACTAAATACAAATATTTACTAGAATATTTTATGATTTTTCTTTACAAGTTTTTCTTGATAGGATTTTCTTTTTTCTATTTTTTTAAAAAGTTATAGGAAAGCCTGTATGTTCTCAAAGATTTTTTTTAATTTAATTAATTTATTTTTGTATGTGTAAACATACATACTGGATTTCTATGTTTTTCAAAGATATATACCATACATTTTCTTTGGGAGTTCTAGATAGCAAAATATGTTTTTTATATCCTCATGGCATCCTTTATTTCAGTTTTAGATCTATCTATCCAAACTGGCTAGAGGTTTCAGAACTATTAAAATGGTAGTAACTGTTACTGAATGGAGAATGTCCTTATATTATTAATAGGGACATTAATAGTGTTAATAGGTCAACAGTTAAGTACTTTTACTTGTAGTGTTTTTTAGAATTGATAGAACCTGGTTGCCATGGAGATAGTTTTTCCACACCAAATGAAGAAATGCTGTTCCTTTCCAAACACTCCAAAGACTCAGGAATCACTAGATATAAATTCTTCTTTCCACTTACCAAGTGGTCAATCCAGTCATCCTAGGATATGGTGAAGTTCACAAGTCATACTTCACAAAACCATTTTTGCCTACTTACATGCAAATGTTTTAGACCACCTGTACAGACTGAACCTGTTTGTTCTCTATGACAGAAAAGAAGGAAGAAATCTACAATGAAGCACAAAATACCCAATTTAGATCATCTCTTTTTGCTTAACGTCTGTGAGTATGACAGGCCAGAGTCTCTGCTCAAGAAACCAATAATCATACATCTCATTTTCATTTCACTTGCTCAGCTATAAATACTACTATTATGGTTTGATTTCCTCTGTGTGTGCACGGAGGGGGTGCTTGTACAGAAGCTTGAATTCAAGGCCTTTAGCTTTTGCTTGGCCTTATCATTCAAAGCTGTCAACCTACCACTTTGCCAACCTCCATTTCTGATTTGTTTGTTTTGGTGTTTAATTGGAGATAAGAACCTCACAGACTTTTCTACCCAGGGTGGCTTCAAAATGTGATCCTCAGAGCACAGCCTCCTGAGTTACTAGGATTACAGCTGTGAGCCACCAGTGGCCACTTTTGGTTTGACTTCTGAAAGTAATGTCATAAACAGTGTGAAAAATTTCACAATTAAATTAAAATTACAACTAATTTTTTTTGCTGTTGTCAGTCATGGGACTTGAACTCTGGGCCTGGGTGCTGTCCTTGAGCTCTTCAGCTCAAGGTTAGCACTCTACCACTTGAGCTACAACACCATTTCCACAACTATTTTTAATATTTTAAAGTAAAAATGCAGAATTGATCATAATTCCATCTGAGGTGGGGGGGGTAAAAAGAAAAATCATAGAAACACATATGGGTTACCCAGAAAGACAAAAAAATCCTCGATGAAGACCCCTCAGTGACATGGAGGCTCAGATTTGCCTGCTCTAAAAACATTACCCTAAAGAGGCTGACCTAACAGGAGGAGGGAAAATGTTTACTTTCTGTGACACTATCAACAGAATCTATTAAAATGACATTCAACATATGAATGATGAAGAAAAAACACTTTTTTCCAAAAAATATCTTCTAGTAAAATCAGAATGTTTTAGATACTGACAATGATGGTACTTTTGAAAATTCTAATATTATCTATAAACTTCAGTATCCTTCATAGGGCCATTTACCTGACTATGGTGATGTCCCACATTCTCCTAACACCCCTCCCCTAAATTCTTAGGACTTGATCATCATTTTACTTCTCATTCAAACTATCATTTCAAGGCACTCATAAATGTGTGACTAAGCAATTCATTCTCAAATATACTGAGTGGCTTAACCTACCTGTAGTTATCTGATCGTGTTTTAAAAATATCAGGAAGGGGTAGCTCAATCAATTATACCTACTTAGTGAATATGTAATATATAATGTCACTCAGTCTTGACACTGTTGTTTGGTGCAGACGGCATTATCCCTGTTACAAAAACTGAGGGATGTGAGGCTGACAGAGGTTAAGCAGCCGGACTAGTCTCAAATAGTTGGAGAATGGCAGAATTAATGTTCTATTCCAGGTTTCATTACCTTCAAAAACTAATCTCCCTAAGGCACTGGTAGCTCACTGTTAGCTAGTGAAACTCTTAGCCAGGCACCAGTGGTTCATACCTGTAATACTAGCAACTCAAGAGGCTGAGATCTGAGGATCGCAGTTCAAAGCCAGCCCAGGTAGGAACCTCCGTGAGACTCTTATCTCCAATAAAGCACCAGAAAACTGGAACTGGTGCTGTGGCTTAAATGGTAAAGCACTAGCCTTGAGCTAAATAGCTGAGGGAAAGCACCCAGACCCAGAGTTCAAGCCCCACAACTGAAAAAAAAAACCCTCTTATATCTAATTAACCACTAAAAAGCTGAAGGCAGAGGTGGGGCTTAAAAGGTAGGTTCACCTTGAGCAAAAAAAGCAAAGGATTAACATGAGGTCAAGCCTCAGTATTGGCAGACATTGCACAAGGGTGTGCACCACACACACAATCACACATAAACTCACACACACACACACAAATGCTAGTCTGTATCCTGAACAGTTGCTTTTCTTCCTCACTCATCTCTCCCTGTGGATATTTTTTTATCTGAGCTCACTGAAAATACTTGTAAGATGCATTTGCTCTAAATTCTGGAAATATAACTGCAGATTTCACCAATAAATAAAAGACCTAAACCTATGAATTAAACTTTTAAAAGTCAAACATTATTATTTGGTTAACTGAATGTTAATAAGTGTACATTATTTATTTATAAGAAGTTTTGAAAACAAGTTGTTAAATTCATGACGTAGAGTTCAACAAAACATACTTTCTTTAAAAATGCTATTCACTTACACTGACAGCATTAATATCCGAGGCGTGTCCTGTGAAAGACTGTCTACACATTCCATCTCTAATATCCCATAATTTGGAAGAAGCATCACAAGCACCAGAAATGAAAGTCCTCATGTCAGGACTCAGGGAAAGACTCATCACATCTCCAGAATGCCCCGTGAATGTGGTGGTCTGCTGGGCAGTTTCGATATCCCACAAAGCACTAGAAATAAGTAAATATAAATATATATATAAACACATAACTATATCTCTTTCTCCAGTTACTAGAATTCTCACCCCCCAAGATCAACATTCTTCTTGAGGAAAACTTACCAAGTTGTATCTCCTGAACTTGTAACAATTTGGCTATCATCTAAAAATCGACAGCAGGACAAGTAGCCTATAGCACAGAGAGTAGCAAATTTTAGATTATCATTGATAAAATAACAGTTACCTTGTGAAATAGTAGTATACTTGAATATAAAATATCTGGCCAATAAGTATTTGTCAATATGATCTATAATTTTGCTTTTAATTGCTTCAAATTCTCTGCTGTCTTCAGCAAGTTTTGTCAACAAGTCTGCTGAGTACTTAGTATGTCAGTGACACTGAGTGAAGACTCAGTACCTATCCCTTGATTAGAGAAGCATGATACTTTACACACATAACTCTAATCCATGACAGACAGTGCTAAGTACCCTGGAGAGTACCTTAAAATACTGTGAGAAATTAGAACCACACCAATGAAGGCTTTCTGACAGATGTGGCACTTGAATATTTAGCCTTTATCAGTAGCAAAATGTGAAAATGGCAGAAAATACCACATTAATATTTAAGATTTATTGTAAAGCATGATCAAGGAATAATATCTAAATTACAGATAAGTACCAATAAATCCCTATTTAATGCCTTAACCAAATTCTACACTAGTGAATTATGAGATGGACACTGGCAAGTAAAACAGTTCACAACCACACAGTGAGAAGTACTTCATGAAGTACTTCGTGATGCACCATGTATCACACCCTGTGTGGTAGCAGAAAATAAGAGAAACTTATATTTGCTTTTTTAATTTTTAATTATTGATTGGATTTTTGTAGTAAATTAATATTTTTATTTTATTTTTTAAAGGAAAATAAGATTATGGAGCTGGTAGCCAGGTGATGGTGGCTTATACCTATAACCCTAGCTTTTCAGAAGGCTGAGATCTAAGAGTCAAGGTTTAAAGCTAACCTGGGTAAAAATATATGAAATTCTTATCTGCAATTTCCCTGCAAAAAGCCAGAAGTAAAGATGTGGCTCAAGTGGTAGACTGCCAGCCTTCAGTGAAAAAACCAAGTGAGGGCATGAGGCCCCAAATTCAAGCCCTTGTAATGGCGCATGCGTGCATGCACGCGCACGCGCGCGCGCGCACACACACACACACACACACACACACACATTACAGGGCTGTAAGTACAGTTCTGTGGTAGAGCACCTACTTAGCATTCAAGAGTCCAATCCCTAGCTTACTGCTAGGGATATATAAAAATGATGGAATATATGACGTGTGTGTGTGTGTGTGTGTGTGTGTGTGTGTGTGTGTGTGTGTGTGTGTGTGTGTGTGTGTGTGTGCTGGTTCTAGAGTTTGAAATCAGCCTAGTGGCTGTCCCTAAGCTTTTAAGCTCAAGATTAGCCCTTTACTACTTGAACTACAGCTCCACTTACAGCTTTTTTGGTGGTTAATTGTAGATGAGAGTCTCACAGACTTTCCTGCCTGGACTGGCTTCAAACTGAGATCCCCAGGTATCAGCCTCCTGAGTAGCTAGGACTACAGGCTTGAGTCTCCAGTGCCTGGCCTAGATATATGACTTTTAAAAGTTACTCTTTTCCTACTTCTTAGTAATTTCCACTATTCTTCAATTATCACTCATCTTTTTTTTTTTTTGGTCAGTCATGGGGCTTGAACTCTGGCCTGAGCTCTTCAGCACAAGGTGAGTGCTTTTTTGCTTGAGCCACAGTGCCACTTCTGGTTTTCTAGTGGTTTATTGGAGATAAGAGTCTCACGGAGTTTCTTGCCCAGGCTGGCTTTGAACCATGATCCTCAGATCTCAGCCTCCTGACTAGCTAGGATTACAGACGTGAGCCACCAGCGCCCGGCTTATCACTCATTCTTTAGCTATGTGTCTAGGAAAGTAGTGGTAGGCAGTGTGATTGAGAAGAAAGGAGGAGTATTTAGTGATATGCTCACCTGTGTGACCAGGCAGCTCTCGACTAACTCTCACGTTCCCTTCTCTTGTTTTTAAGTTGTATATAGAGCAGATGTTGTCCAAGCCTCCACAAGCAACATAGTTACCAGAAGGGGCATAGGCACAAGTCATCACCCAGGAGGACCTCAGAGGAATGGCATGCATCTAGGACATAAATACAGAGCATAGAAACTATTACTGGGGAAATAACACAAGAAGTCAATTCATTTTAATTCTATCTACAATTAAGCCAAAGTTAGATCTAAAATTAAGTATAGCTAGGAAAAATAAGTCAAATTAAATACAGAAAATAATGGATTGAGAAAGTGAACAACAAAAATTAAAATACCAATACATATAAAAATACCTATTTTTCTGTATTATCATTCAGAGTTAAGAAGGGATCTCTTTTAGATGTCATTCCTTTACTAGAAGGAAAAATATAGGATTTTTTTTTTTGGTCGGTTGTGGGGCTTGGGCTTGGGCGCTGTCCCTCAGCTCTTCAGCTCAAGGCAAGCACTCTACTACTTGAGCCACAGCGCCACTTCCAGTTTTCTAGTTTTGTTGGAGAGAAGAGTCTCATGGACTTTCCTGCCTGGACTGGCTTTGAACCATGATCCTCAGATCTCAGCCTCCTGAGTGGCTAGGATTGCAGGCATAAGCCACTGGCGCCCAGCTCAGGATGTTTTAATGTTTAGACATTTTAATAAAATTGTTTTTACTAATGCTCAAAAGAGTAATTTCTTACAATACAATATTGAACAATAAATAAAAGGAGAGGTAATGAACACATATTTGAGTCACTCCAAATTGTTTGTACCCAAAGAGATCTCACTATTATTCATCTATTATGAAGTATGTTAACTCCCTCAAGATAGCTTTGCATTGACCTAGTTACTCCCATCTGGTGTCTCATTAAGCCAATACCAATCAATTTTCTGGCCATAGGTAAAGGTTTAGGGTATATTCCAAGTGAAGATTGTTTGTACAGGTGTCAGCATTTCATGAGATTACTGCTCTCACTTAACCTAATATATAATATATAATGATATAATAATATATAATACATAAAATTTTTGGTCGGTTATGAGGCTTGAACTCTCGACCTGGATACTGTCTCTGAGTTCTTCAACTCAAGGAGAGCACTCTACCACTTGAGCCACAGCACCATTTGTTTTTTTCTGGTGGTTAACTGGAGATAAGAGTCTCATGGACTTTCCTGCCTAGGCTGGCTTTGAACTGCAATCCTCAGATCTCAACCTCCTAAGAAGCTAGGACTATAGGCATGAGCCACCAACACCTGGCTGTAAATTAATATTTTAAGTGACATTTCTTTTAGTTTTAGGAAAATGTGTTTAAAAGAGACACACTTTAATTTCCATTAATACAGAAAAACTAGTGTTATATACTTGATTTTATTAGCTTTACACTCTTGAGTCTGAATGGGGGAAGAACCTGAGGTAGAGCTCAGGGTAGAGCATTTGCTTAGATAAAGGAGGGCCTAGATCTGTGCTCAACATCAAAATCAATCAAGTTAAAGTTATTATTTTACAAAATACTATTTTCACATGCTGCAATATATACACAGAATATACTTATGAAAGTATTCACAAGTTTTTCTACTACAATTCACCAACTCTAAATCAGTGTATAGTGCCTCCCCATGGAAATAAGAGAATCCACAGTCTTTTACCACTAAGATATCTAAGTCAGATGTAATTTACCTCCAATCTAGCAGCCCAGAAACAGAAATCAATGACTGGACTGGAAAAGTTTTACACTAATCATCCAATCTACCTAAAACTAGGAATTAAAAAAACTCAAGGTTATTTTATATTTATATATATATATTTAAATATAAATATATATATTTATATTAGGAAAGGGAAATATTTTTAAAGTACCAGTTATACATGAAGATGATGCTCTTCCCTAAAATTTAAATATGAAAAAAGTATAATATTCAGTAAAAACACATTGAACAATATTCTTGTACTTTGTACCTGGACATGAAATGACTAAATATAAAAATCAGCCGTAGGCCCAAAAAGATGATCTAGATTAAAATAAATGAAATAAGCAACACAATGCAATTAAAGTTTGAAGTAAGAATAAAGGAACTAGTAGACAATAAATCAAATACAATGTGGTTTAAATGAATTAAAAAATTACCTTATTTGTTGTATAGCTATCCCAAATAATTAATTTTCCATCTTGGGAAGCACTGACTAATAGCCTACAGGAAGAAACACAAAAATAATTTGACACTTGGAGGAAAAAAGTAGTTAAGCATTATGTTAATGCCACACAGTTTGAAGAAGAATAAAAAAACCTTTGTAATAAAAAAAACTTGGTACCAAAGATTTTCTTCCAACTTAAAAAATTTTGAATGCATGACATAAAATTTAGCAATTGACTAAAATATCTCTGTTTTTCATGGTGATGACACATTTGTTATAATTCAAGGTTCTGGTAGATATTCATTGACTGATTTACTATTAAACACTGACTTACTTCAATTTAATGGCCACATAGCACATACAGGCCTAATGACAATACCTCATCCAATTCAAAGCTATCAACTGAGTGACTGAAAATGCTACAAGGCACAAGGAAGGACATCCCTCCTGCTCACAGAGACACTATATTTGGTGGAGATGAGGCATACACTGTATACCTACAACAACCATGTTAAGTAAAGTGTGTCAGAAGAATGATATGAAAATATCTCAAGACTAAACCAAGAACAAATAACTGTTAGTTAAATTAATCAAGTAACACATTTTTCGAAAAGGAGTTTTGAGAGCAAAAACTTCAGAAAAGTCTATGTTCAGCAGTGACAGTATAGTCAATGAGAACAGGCAGAAAAAGTACAGTCATAACCCAGGAACTTCGGTCTTCTAGTTGCATAGTTTGTGAGAAACCAAAGTAAAGCAAGAAAAGTAAAACTGGACTTAAACTGCAGAAAGCTTTGTTTGCTAGCTAAAGGCTATGAACTCTTTTTTTTTTGGTGGGCCTTGCACTATCTAAGCAGCCACTCTACTACTTTGCACTCAATTCCTTTTGTGTTAGTTGTATTTTGAACACAGGTCTCAATACTGCTTAGGTTGGTCTGTAATGTGATCCACCTGTACATCTCCCATATACCTGGGAAGACAGATGTGCAACACTGTATTTGGCTTTTTATTGGTAAACACAGAATTATTCCATTTAATTAGTTTTTTCATCCAGGCTTTCCTCAAACCACAATCCTCCTGAGCTCAGTCTTCAAAGTAGCTAGAATTACAAGCATGAGCCATTATGCCCTACTGGGTATGAACTCTTTACTATGTATCAATCTCTAAATTTTTAGTTCTGTTCTGAAATTTGTCTCCATGGTATAAAACACACAAAACAACTGGGCATGGATGGCTTACACCTGCTTAGTTACTCAAGAAGCTGAGATTCTGAGGATCATGGCTCAAAGCCATGCCAGGCAGGAAAGTCCATGAGATTCTTATTCTTAATTAAACACTAAAATCATGAAGTGGAACTTTGATGGGTGAGACAAGTGGTAGAGTGCTAGCATTGAGTACAAAAGCTCACAGACAGGGCTCTGGACCTGAGATCAAGCCCTAGTACAGGAACCATAAAAACAAACAAACAAATACATAAATGGACATATAATGAAAATATACAAAAACATTCAGTTCTCTGCTGTATAGGTAAAAAAAACAGCACAATATAAGCTTAACTACTTTACAAAAGGGAAGATCCCATCATGGAGTGTGGAATGGACTTACAGAAAATTCTCAATATTAAGTTGGCATCATTTGCTGCTTAGTTTCTCTGTATACTCAAAAGACAGTAAGACATTTTTTTCAATATTAGACCTTGTTCATGGCAATATTAAAACATTGGGAGGGTGGGGCTGGGAAGGTGGCTCAGTGGTAGAGTGCTTGCCTTGCATGCATGAGGCCCTGGGCTTGATTCCTCAGCACCACATAAGCAGAAAAAGCCAGAAGTAGTGTTCAAGTGGTAGAGCCCTAGCCTTGAGCTGAAGAGCTTAGGGACAGCACCCAGGCCCAGAGTTCAGGCCCAAGACCAACAAAAAACAAAACAAAAAACATTGGCAATTATTTAGAATCTAATGGCACATGGAGAAAAAGCTAACTATTTTCTTCTTGGTAATTTTTCTCAATAAAAACAAATGGACTCGGGGCTGGGAAGGTGGCTCAGTGGTAGAATGCTTGCCTTGCATGCATGAGGCCCTGGGTTTGATTCCTCAGCACCACATAAGCAGAAAAAGCTGGAAGTGATGCTTTGGCTCAAGTGGTAGGGCGCTAGCCTTGAGCTGAAGAGCTAAGGGACAGTGCTCAGGCCCAGAGTTCAGGCCCCATGACCGGCAAACACACACACACACACACACACACACACACACACACACACACACACACAATGGACTCATCTGTTAAACTGTCATAACAAAATGAAGTAGATTGGCAACAGCATACTGATGAAAAGATCACTAAGTAATGAACTAATCATTAGAATTGGTGTGAGATGCGATTCTGGGTATTATCTTTGTTTCTGAGAAAATATTCAGGAAAAGAAGAACTACTAACATTGTTTCAAAGTTTGGGGTAAAAAGTTTGTTGTATCAACAAGGCAAAACATTTTAACCTTTAAAACAATAATAAAACATTTGTCCTAGCTTTATGACACAATTTTATCATCCCCTCCTAAAAAGCATATGTCCTTCATTACTGTACTCAAGAATCCTTATTTCTGTTGGCGAGTAATTGGTAAGGAAGTTTTATCTGTAGAATTTTAGTGCCTTCTGCAATAAGAGCTTATATATGCAACTTTTTTTTTAAAGTCAAGTGTATCGGGTGATGGTGGCTCACATCTGTATTCTGACTATTCAGAAGGCTGAAATCCGAGAATCAATTAAAGTTTTATCTCCAAATAACCACCCGAAAGCTAGAAGTAGAGCTGTGTCTCAAGTGGTTAAGTGAATGGCTCATATAAGCAATCCTAGCTACTCAGGAGGCTAAGATCTGAGGGTCTATGTTTGAAGCCAGCTTGGTTAGAAAAGTCTATAAGATTCTTATCTTCATTTAAATACACACACACACACACCACACACACGTACACACGCACACGCGCGCAAAACATTAGTGGAGCTGTGGCCCAAGTGACAGGATGCTCTTTCTTATTTATTTATTTTTATTTGCCTGTCCTGGGCCTTGAACTTAGGGTCTGGGTTCTGTGCCAGAACCTTTCTATGCTCAAGGCGAGGTCTCTATCACTTGAGTCACAGCGCCACTTCAGGATTTTTCTGTTTATGTGGTACTGAGGAATTGGGTCCAGGGCTTCATGCATGCTAGACAAGCACTCTACCACTAAGCCACATTCCCAGGCCAGAATGCTACTCATGAGCAAGCTAAGTCAGAGAGCAAGAACAAGGCCTTGAATTCAAGCACCATTACTGGCCAAAAGAAAAATATATGTCTCTGTTTGGGACATTACCCAACAATGTTAAACTAAACCACAAATACAAGTTAGCCACCATGGTGGCAGGCAGACATGCTGGAAAAAGCACAGGCAATACTGCAACCGTGAGAAGATAGTGAATCGTAGTGACCAAGACATCTAAATTGCAAACCCAGTTTATCATGGTGTCCATGTGTACTTGCAGACACTAAGACTCACACACTCCAGCACATGTAAGTGTTAGGCTTGAAGGGTAAAAGATGTATTCAATTAAGCATCTTTGTATCACAGAATCTAATCCTAGATACAAAATTATAGCAATAGCTAGCAACTTGCACAAAGAAGACATTTAACAAGTATTTGCTTGTTAACTGAAATTTCACTGGTTTGGGGCTAAGCATAGTGGTGCATACTTATAATCCTAGTGTTCAGGTGGCTCAGTGAAAAGGATGGAGAGTTCAGAAACCAGCCTGGACAGGCTACTCAGTGAGATTCTGGAAATAAACAAATATATATGTATATGTATGTATGTACATATACATGTATATATGTATGTGTGTATGCATATATGTATATATGTAAGTCTAATACCCCAGTGCCAAATCCTTTCTAAATAGTTTTCTCAAATATTAAATTTTTTAGCATAGTTCACTAATTCATAAGAAATGAATAAGTGTTTGCTTCAGCAGCACATATACTAAAATTGGAACGATACAGAGAAGATTAGCATGGCCCCTGCGCATGGATGACATGCAAATTCGTGAAGCATTCCGTATTTTTGTATTCAAATGTTTTTTTCTTTCATTTGATTGTTTCTAACACATTTATAAGATGATTTCTTTGTTGCTTTGTATGTCCCTCCCCCATGGTATAACCCCTGCTTTCACTGTATTTGAGGTTGGCATAATTTGTGGAGGGGAAGGGAAAAAACAAATCGTTTAAACAGGGATACAGGTGGATCCATTGCAACAATGAGATGTACAAGTCATTATGTGGAAAAACAAACTTTACAACTTTGGTGTTGGGGGGGAGGATTGGGTTGGGGGGAAAGATGGGAATGGATGGGAAGGGGAAACAGAGGAGGAGGCTATAATGCTTGATAAGAAATGTATTCATTATCTTGCCCATGTAATTGTAACCCCTCTGTACAGTATTTTCACAATAAAAAAAAAGAAATGAGTAAGGGTAATATCAGTTCACCTGTTTAAAAGTATTTATGAGAGATTGATTAATTTTCCACATTAAAGCTTTTAAACTTCCAGGGTAGAGGTGTAGCCCATTGCCTCACCATGCATACCTTTGCCTAGCATACATGAAGGGAGGGGAAGAGAGAGGAAAGGAAGGGAAGGAAAGGGAAGGGGAAGGAGGGAAAGGGAGAGGATAGAGGGGAGGGAAGGGAAGGGGAGGAAAGGAAGGAAAAGAAGAGGAAGGGAGGGGAAGAGGGGGGAAGGGAGGGGAAAGGAGGGGAAGGAGGGAAAGGAAGGGAAGGAAGGAAGAAAAAAAAGAAAGAAACAAGACAGCAGCGGTGGTTCACACCTATAATCCTAGCTATTAAGGAGGCTGTGAATCAAGGTTCAAAGCCAGCCAAGGCAGGAAAGGTCTGTGAGACTCTTATCACTATTAATCACAGAAACGTGATGCTGTAGCTCAAGTGGTAGAGTGCTAGCCTTGAGCAAAAGGAGCTTAAGGACATTGCCCAGGCCCAGAGTTCAAGCCCCAGGACAGTGTCCCCCACACATCCCCAAAATAAAAAAGAAAGAAAGACAGAAATAAAGAGAGAAAGAATAAAAGAAAGGAAAAAAAGGAGAGAGGAAGAGAGGGAGGAAGGAAAGGAGAGAGAAGACAGAGAGAAAAGGAAGAGAATCTAGCTGGCCATGGTAGCCCATACCCATAATCCAGCAACAGTGGAGGTAAGTTTAGGTAAGTGATCTGAGGCCAGTCCTGGGGAAAAAATTCAAGACCATATCTGAAAAATAACTAAAGCAATTGAGAATCATGAGTCAAGTAACAGAATGCCTGCCCAGTAAGTTTAAACCTCAGTACCACTAAAGAAGTTTTGAAACTCCTTAAGTATCAATGAATATTCTTAGTGAAAGCCAAGTGTTCATATTTGATGCTTTTTCTGCAAACAGCTTATAGTTTGTCTTTAATATGAGAAAAAAGCAAATAATATTAATAAAAATCACTCTGCTAGCAGTTCGAAAATGACAGGCACAAACCTTGAATCATATCCCCAATGCATAGCATAGATTTTAGCTAGGTGGCCTCGCAGAGTGCGTCTTGTTCGCATTTGTATTCGCCCCACGGAGTCCATGTTTGATGCGATCTTTAGAAAGCAAGAAAAATGTTACTGTTTACCTTAAACATAATTCAAGAGCTAACCTAAAAACAATAGGCTTACAAAAAGCACGTATGAAATTTGTATGAATTCAAAGTAATTTATTATAAATAATTCCATATAACTGTTATGGGATCAAAATATTGTTCATAAAACCTATGATTAATATTAAAATAATCCTACATGCATTTACAGGTATGAATATATTCTCACACTATCACTGCAAAGAACAAATGAATATCTAAACATTAGAAAAGAACCACTACCTACACTAGAGACTAAGAAGGGTAGAGGGGACAGAGGAAGACTGGTAACAGGCACCACAATACAATGGCATAGGAAGATCAGATTCTTATGTTCCACAGTACAGTAGAGTGACTATAGTTTACAACAGCCTATTATATATTTTATGAAGATATAGAAGAAAGAATCTCAGAGCCACCAAACACAGAGCAGCAGTAAATGTCTGAGAAGAATGTTCATTACTCTGATTTGATCACTACATACATGTATTTAATCATCACACCCTACACATAAATTTGTATAATTATGTAACAATTAAGAAAAATATATCACCCACAAATAAAAGTTTAGAAGTATATCACCAATAATTTTTTAAAGGACAGTTTTATATCTATAGCAGAAAAATAATTCCTTAATAAAAGTGATCAGTATTAATTTAACTAATGAGTTAATTAAATTAATGAATATCGAGGAAATGCTTAATCAGGGTATACCAGAAAGAATCAGAAACTAAAAAAGATTCAGAAAGTACTTTAAAACAAGCATAAACAGCTATGCACAGGCATTCATGCCTTAGCTATTCAAGAGGCTAAGATCTGAGGTTCATAGCTATAAGCCAGCCCAGGTGAGAAGTCTATTAAGACTCTCATCTCCAATTAACCATCAAAAAACTGGGAGTTGAGCTGCTTCTCAAGTGCTCTACGCACCAGCCTTGAGGGAAAAAGCTAAGGGTCAACACACCCAGGCCCCAGTTCCAAGCCCCAATACCAACACAAAAAGAAAAACAACAAACAGCACAAAATAGACTAATGCACATATTTTTCAGACTTCTATATTAACAATATGAATGGGTTAGGTTGAAGGGTGGGGGGAAATGGCAGATCAAGATGTGTAATATACATAAACTTTTGTTAAATGGCAAAAAATTCAATATGTATCCTAAAAAATTAAGAAAAATAAGGGAAGGGATGGGTTGGGAAAAAGCTGGGTGAGAATGTTGAAAGGGATGACATTGATCAAGATGCACTGTATTCATAGACTTTTGTTGAATGGCAATTCCTTTGTATAACTACTTAAAGATAATAAAAATATTTAAAAATAAAAAGTGCTAAAATCAAATACTTGAATTATATAGCATTGGACAAATTTCAAAGGATTTGACACAGATTTATTTCATATTAAGTACTAAGTAAATTAATTTAAACATCCATATTCGTGTCAAGTTGTTTTATAAAAATTATTAAAATGCACAAAAAACCTTACCTGCACAAGTGTGGCATCATTACATGCTTTCCTAGCATCCTAAAGTAAAGAAAAATGATTATACATTTAGATATGGAAATCTCTCCAATACGATTAAAATACATTTTCATAGTTTAAATAAGGATACAGGTGGAACCGTTGCAACAATGAGAAGTACAAGCTGTCATGTCGAAAACGAACTTTACAACTTTGGTGGGGGGGGGAGGGGGGAGGATTCGGGGGGGGGGTGGAGGAGGCTGGGAAGGGATAGGAAGGGTAAACAAAGGAGGAGGCTACAATGCTTGATAAGAAATGTACTAATTATCTTGCATGTAATTGTAACCCCTCTGTACAGTATTTTCACAATAAAAAAAGAAAGATGTTAAAAATATCAGAGCATTCAAAATTAAAATGTTAGAATACAAAAATATCTTACCAATAGTTACTTGCAAATTTATGTTATTCAAATAATAGAAACATTTCAAGAAATTTATTCTTACAAAAGGTATACATTAGAAAACAGACTATAAAAGGATTCCTTTTGGTGCGTGGGGGGGGGGAAGGATTGGGGGGGAGGGGGAGGCTGGGAAGGGATGTGAAGAGTAAACAAGGAGGCTGCAATGCTTGGTAAGAAATGTATGCATTATCCTGCCCATGTAATTGTAACCCCTCTGTACAGTATGTTCACAAATAAAATAAAATAAAATAAGAAAAAAAAGAGGATTCCTTGCCATCTACCACAACAAAAATACAAGATTTGATATAAATCATTAGTACAAAAGAAAAACAATGACATATTTCTCATTCTAAATTTTTAAAAAATGACAAAATAAAATAAAATATATTTTCTTTTTAATTTACAATACAGTAATTCATTTAGCTGAGTGCCCAAGGCTCAGGCCTACAATCATATCTATTCAGGAGGCCGAGATATGAGGATCAAGGTTCAAAGCTAGTCTGGACAGGAAAGTCCGTGAGACTCTTATCTCCAATAAACCACCAACAATTCAGAAGTGGAGCAGTAGCTCAAGTGGTAGAGTATTAGCCTCAAGCAAAAAAAGCTCAAGGACAGTGCCAAAGCCCTGAGTTCAAGGTCCAGGAATGGTAAACACATACACACACACACAGACACACACACACACACAGACAGACAGACACACACACACACACCAAGTATAATAAAATAGAATGCATTTCTATTATGTCATGCATTTATATCATCTAGTGTACTATACTTTAGGTAAAACTATAGTTAGACTATATTTCCAGAAAGGAAGGGAAAGAAAATAAGGAAGAAAAAGTCTTTTTTTGGGGGAGGTTAACTGTATTTTTTTTTGTCTTTTCTTTTTTGGTACTGGGGATCGAACCCAGGACGTTGCACTTGCTAGGCAAGCGCTTTGCCACTGAGCTATATCCCAGCCCAAGAAAAAGTCTTTATAGTGTGACAAGATTAAATGGAGGAGAAAAGAACATGGTATTGTAAGAATATGTGGTTACTTGAAATCATGGGAGATTATATAACAGAGATGTGCCTATGGCCTCTTCTTTGGAAGATGTAGAAATGATTAAAACAGAATTAATTTTCCATCCTGGTACAAATAGCAAGACAAATATAAACAAGGAATCAAATATAAGACTAACTATGGTCAGCTCAGTCACTGAAGTCCAAAGTGCTATATGAGTAAGGAACTGCTACTCATTAGCATTGTGTTTTAGGTAATCACCTGTTCAGACCTACAAAGTGGCCCATGGTATTTCTGCTTCACATCAAAGACAATGAACATTAAAAAGTTAAGTAATTTTTCCATGGCCACAACTAATGCCATTCTACTTTCCAAAAGAAAGTGAACAAATCCAAGTGGGGACTTGATTTAGGACTTTTAAAGAGGAGTATTAGGACTCGAGAAATATTCCAAAGGACAACTGGACCATGGGTAGTGTAATTCCAGGCACAGGAAACAAACTGATAAAAGGCAAAAAATTGGACTACATTCAAGAAATGGTAAATTAGCAGCCAAATTAGTACCTCCATAGCCTAGGTTGTAGAGAGAATGGTAAATATGACTGGGAGGCATCCTTTGTGAATGAACACAAGCTTTGGAATCAAAACATACTTGGTCTGGTGGCCATACCTGTAATCTTTGCTACTCAGGAGGCCAAGATCTGAGGATCCCATTTTAAAGCCAGCCTTGGCAGGAAAGTCCATGAGACTCGTATCTTCAATTAACCACCAAAAAGCCAGAAGTGGAGCTATCGCTCAAGTGGTAGAGCTCTAGCCTTGAACATAAGGGGCAGTGCTTGCCCCTGAGCTCAATCCCTAGGTACAAGCACACATATACACAAAAATAACAAACAAAACAACAACAAAAGCTAAACAAAAATCCTGATCTGATTCTGAGATTTATTAGCAGTAGTTATGTTATCTGAACAACTTATGAACTCTCACTGAACCAAGGTTTACTCAAGTATAAAATGAAGTTATGCATTCTCACTGAACCAAGGTCTACTCAAGTATAAAGTAATTACAGTTACAAGGAGGCTAAAAGGAGCTGGACATGGGACCACGGGCTAGGACAATTTTCACTTAGTTACTCTTGCTCAGTATGTGGAGTGATACCAAGTAGGGGATGGAGAGAATTCATTCTGGTGGGTTGGGAATGTAGCCCAGTGTTTGAGTGCTTACTTATCATGCATGAGGACCAAGGTTCAGGTCTCCACATTGAAAATAGTAACAATTTTAAGTTAATTAATTAAAAATTCTGGCAGTAGGGGGAGGCTGGGAAGGGATGGGAAGGGGAAACAAAGGAGGAGGCTACAATGCTTGATAAGAAATGTACTCCCTAAATTCTGGCAGTAGAAATGCATACTGAGTGTCTCTTGTCTGAAAATTCAAAATCTGAAAGGCTCCCAAATCCCAAAGATATACAATCCTAAAAATTTCTGGTGCTAAGCATTTTGCCTAAGAGATACTCCACCTAACCTCTACTCAGACATTAGTGAAGTCTTCTCCACTTGCTCCAGGCAAAGCAAGCATCTTTGTTTTGACAGCCTTGTTTATACTTATAAGATTTAGCAATCTTCTTCACATTTTTGCCCAGGGTTGACTTCTTCATGATACTCTTACCTATGGCCTCCTGCATGGCTGGAATCACAGGCACATGCCACACTCCTGGCTTGCTGATTGATTTTTTGCCATGATTTTGAATCATGATTCTCTGGATCTCTCTGCCTCCCAAGTAGCTGAGATTGCAGAAGTCAGCTACTATACTTGTCCCTTTCTTCTCTTTTCCTGCAATATCTCTATATAGAGATTCTTTACTTTTAAATTATATCATCTTCAATAGCTATTGCAACAATTCCACTTTCTCAGACATTCTCCCTGCTTGTGCTAAAATTCTTCATTTACATTCATAGATTTTATTTTTCACTGTGAAAGGAAGAGCCAGCTTCTACATTACTCACAATGCAGTCCTTTTTCTTCTACCTATTTTACAGAGAAACTATATTTTTCATTAAAAATATTTATTTTATTATTTTTTAGTTGTAAAAGGAATGAATGCAATGTATGTTGATCAATGTCACCCCTTTCAACGTTCTCACCCATCCCTCTTCTGGTTTTTTTTGTTTGTTTTTGTCGGTTGTGGGGCTTGAACTCTGAGCTTGGGTGCTGTCCTTGCGCTCTTCAGCTCAAGTCGAGTGCTTTACCACTTGAGCCTCAGCACCACTTCCGGTTTTCTAGTGGTTTATTGGAGATAAAAGTCTCAGGGACTTTCCTGCCTGGGTTGGCTTTGATCCTCAGATCTCAGCCTCCAGAGTAGCTCGGATTACAGGAATGAGCCACCAGTGCCCGGCCTCATCCATCCCTCTTCTACTCTTCCTAATTTTGTAGAATGTACATTGGATTCTTTGTTTTGAGATGCAAATGGTAACAAATAGGCCTTTTATTTGTCACTATTAAAAATCTGAATTTTAAACAGATTCTTGAATTTGTGGTTCATATCCATCAGCTCGTTAAACTTTAAGTGCCAGTCTTGTCCCCAGAAGCTTTTCCAGAACTACCACCTTCACCATGCAGCAACATGAGCTTTCCCAATTCAAAGTTGGGCTTCTTCAGCATTTTTACTTTTCTAACGAAGACATCATTAAAGTGGATATTAGACTGGCAAGCCTTTAATGTGTCTTTCCCAATGCTATCTGAAATCAGTTTATTAAATACTTCTTTCAAGTGATTTGTCTGCACTTCTTGGGTCATCTTCTTCTGGATTTGGTGGACCTTCTGATGTTGAGCATAGGAGGTCTCATGGATCTGGCTGTTGCATCTTTTTTTCTTTTTTTTAGTAAAACCGACCCAGAACAGATGCAGGAAATAACCATCTGCAATCTTTACATCTACATGAGCTTCAGTCATGGTCTGCCACTTTCTGACCATGTTGCAAAGTTTGTCTCAGGTGAGAGCCATGCCACAGAAATGGTACATACAAAGCAACAAAGAAATCATCTTATAAATATGTTGGAAACAATCACAAGAAAGAAAAAAAACATTTGAATCCTTATCTTGGGTGTACCTCCCCCATGTGTATAAACCCTGCTTTCACTGTATTTGATGTTGATATAATTTGTGGAGGGGAAGGAAAAAAAAACAAATCATTTAAATAGGGTTACAGGTGGACCCATTACAACAATGAGATGTACAAGATGTTATATCGAAAAACGAACTCTACAACTTTGGTGGGGGTGGGGGTGGGGGTGGGAGGAGGTGGTGCTAGGGGGGTATGGGGGCAGGGGAGCGGAGAGGGGAATGGATGGGAATGGGAAACAAAGGAGGAGGCAACAATGCTTGATAAGAAATGTACTCACTATCTTACCCATGTAATTGTAACCCCCTCTGTATGGTATTTTCAAAATTAAAAAAAAAAAAAGAAATTGATCAGGCAGGAAGTTGATCTTTCCCTGAAGATCCTCAGAAAGTAGCTTCAATTTTCTTAATGTAAATGCATAATTTTGTAGATCAGCAAGGCTCACTTCAAATGCTTTTATATTCATCAGGTGTGATCTTTGCTCCCTGAGTCCTCGTGACTAGTATTTCCCCAATATTTCTTTTGTTACTGTTGTTGTTGGTCTTGAGGCCTGAATTCTGGGCCTGGGCACTGTGCCTCAGCTCTTCAGCTCAAGGCTAGCGCTCTACCACTTGAGCCACAGCACCACTTCCAGCGTTTTCTGCTTATGTGGTGCTGAGGAATTGAACCCAGGGCCTCATGCATGCGAGACAAGCACTCTACCACTGAGCCACCTTCCCAGGCCCCCCAATATTTCTTATCTTAAACATGGCTGGTGCTTTCACATCATACCAATTTTGCTTAGAAAATGACTCCCTTTTTGCTGTCTTTTGTAAGGTGCTTGTTCTGGATGACCATCAGGGTTCTGCTTAGAGAGCCAAAAGGTTACAATTGTATTGTTGATTGTGTTCTCCATATTCTATTTGTTGGCGTGGTGTTTGTTAGAAATGGATTTTGGAGAGTTCTTTAGAGGCATGATAAGAGCAAATTTATCATTTCTACTCTTATAAATTATATATATATATATATATATATATATATATATATAATGTTAAAACTAATACCATAGGGGCTGGGAAGTTGGCTCAGTGGTAGAGCGCTTGCCTTGCATGCCTGAGGCCCTGGGTTCGATTCCTCAGCACCACATAAGAAAAAAGCCGGAAGTGGCGCTGTGGCTCAAGTGGTAGAACGCTAGCCTTGAGCTGAAGAGCTGAGGGACAGCGCCCAGGCCCAGAGTTCAGGCCCCATGACCGGACCCCCCCCCCAAAAAAAAACTAATACCATAAATTATTTAATATATGTATAATGATAAAACTAATATTCAAATGCTATACACTGTAGATACTAAACCATGTTAAGATTTCCAAATGCAGGGCTGGAAGGTGGCTTAGTGGTAGAGTGCTTGCTTAGCATGCATGAAGCCCTGGGTTCAATTCCTTAGTACCACATAAACAGAAAAAAGCTGGAACTGGCATTGTGGCTCAAGTGGTAGAGTGCTATCCTTGAGCAAAAGAAGCTCAAAGACAGTGCCCAGTACCTGAGTTCAAGCCCCAGTACTGGTAAAAAAAAAAAAAATTTCCAAATGCAGCCAGGTGCTGGTGACTCACCCCTGTAATGCTAGTTACTTAGGAGGCTAAGGTCTGAGGATCACAATTCAAAGCTAGCGCAGGCAAGGAAGTCTGTGAGACTCTTTCTCCAATTAACCACCAGAAAACCAGCAGTGGCACTGTGGCTCAAAGTGGTAGAGTGCTTGCCTTGAGCTGAAGAGCTCAGAGATAGCACCCCAGGCCCAGAGTTCAAGCCCCATGACCCACCAAGAAAAAAGATTTCCAAATGAAAAAGTTCTTACCTGAATCTGATTCCGTAGCTGTTCGGCCTCTTGCCTTAACTGTTCTAGTTCACTCATGTTTTGAATCTGTGTTTCTCCGGATTTGTGAAGTAAAGTAACTTCTGGAGAGAAGAAGAAAAAAAGATAATCATAGATTAATAGTAGATAAATCAACGTGGAGGGGGGAGGTTCTTAGAATCAGGGATCTCACAATTGGGTGCTTGTTAAACTGGTGCTCTACCACTTGTCATGCCTCTAACCCTGACTTTAGCTGGTTATTTTGGAGATGGAGATTCACTGCTTTTCTACCCAGGCTGGCTTCTATCCACAATTATCTGGATGATGAGCTGAATAGTTAGCACCACTTTTGCTCAGCTTTAATTCAATTTTAAAAGTAAACTATATATGTATATATATTTGTATATATGCATATATTTATATCAATATGTATATATATGTATATATAGTCTACTTTTTAAAAAATATATATATAATTTCTCTTTAATCCTTCTGAAACATAAGTTAGACAATTACTGCAACTTTAACTTGGTTACTAAATAAAGATATAGTTTACTTACTGAGCAGTTTTCTGAAGGAATGTGATACAAACATTGGCAGTACCAAAATGGAGTCACTTATGTCAAACCTTAATAAAACAGATCTAGAGGCCCTCACACACATAACACATATGCCTAAGAAGGACCTATCTGAGGCATTTCTCAAAACCTTTCCTACTCCAGGCAAGCTGCTAATACTCCAGGTAGACAGAAACAACTGTCTCTCTCAGAGAGCTAACCCCAATTTTTGCAACAAAGCCCTGTAACCAATTATCTTTGTTTCAAACAGCTTATGTGGATTTCTACCTTTTCATCTTTGCTTAATTCTTCTTTTTTAAAATTGCTTTTTAAAAAAATTCCTCCTTTTTCTTTTTCTTACCAATACCTCTTCAGTTACACATATGGGACCCCATAGTACATCTCTCTCAGGTAGCAATCTCAGTTCTTTTAGGGAAAAGAAGCCCCTGGTTTTAGACAGTTGGTCTTTCTGTAGCTATACTCAGCTGACACTAACCAAAAGATGGAAGATAAATCATGTGTTATAGTTATTGGGTCCGGTCGTGGGGCCTGAACTCTGGGCCTGGGCGCTGTCCCTCAGATCTTCAGCTCAAGGCTTGCGCTCTACCACTTGAGCCACAGCGCCACCTCTGGCCTTTTTTTCTGCCTATGTGATGCTGAGGAATCGAACCCAGGACCTCATGCATGGGAGGCAAGCACTCTACCACTGAGCCACCTTCACAGCCCCATGTGTTGTAGTTATGAAGACTGAATTTTAAAGAATTCATACACAAGAATCTAGTGAGAAAAAAAATTTTGTGTGTCAACTTCAGGCCTCACACACTCACTTGGTTTTTTATGTTGGTTGGCTGGTTGTTTAGTTTTTTTTGTTGTTGTTTTGATTTAATTATTGTGGAAATACCATACAGAGGGGTTACAATTACATGGGCAAGATAGTGAGTACATTCCTTATCAAGCATTATTGCCTCCTCCTTTGCTCCTTTGTTTCCCCATACCATCCCTTCCCCTCTCCACCCCCCAACCTCCACACTCCCCTACCACCAGAACCCCTCTCCCCACCCTGCCAAAGTTGTAGAGTTCGTTTTTCGACATAACATCTTGTACATATCATTGTTGTAATGGGTCGACCTGTTTTGTTTTGTTTCTCAAGACTACCACTCTACTACTTGAGCTATACCTCTGCTTCTGGCCTTTTGCTAATTAACTGGAGATAAGATTCTCTCTGATTCATCTTCCTAGGCCGGCTTCAAATGGTGATCCTCAGATCTGGATATCCTGTGTAGCTAGAATTAGAGATATGAACCACTAGTGCCTGACTCTAATGAAATATATTTTATAGGAGATCAAAGGGCAGCAATAAGTATCTCCACATAGATGTTTCCACTCTGATGTCTTTATGTGTGTTTCAAACTAATTTGTCATAATTGAACTCCACCTCACCTCCAAACATCCTCACTTCAGTAAACAGCAGTTCCATTCTTGCAACAATTGAGGCCAAAAATCTTTAAATTTCTCTTTTTCTCTCACATCCTTCACCATCAAATCCATGAAAAAATTATGTCAGTTATTTTTTCCAAAAATTATCCAGGATCTGAGAAGAACATTGATTACTTCAACATCTACTACTTCAGTTGAAACCTGCACCATCTTATTCCCACATCAGTCAAGTCCAAATCCAGCAAGTGGCAATTCTTTTAGAAAAGAAGTCACCTTCTGCTTTGAAACCTGTAAGGGTTTTCCACTCTGAATAAACCCAGAGTCTTTAACTCAACTTACAGAAACCTGTTCAAACTCAATCTCTTTCTTTCACCCCAAACACAGACAACACACCTTCCTACTCTCCTATCCTTCACTGCTCAAAACAATGTGTTCCTTGAACACATTGAGAAGCTCCAGCCTTCATGTCTTTGCATTTTCTCTGCTTTTTGCCTAGCCCACACTTGCCCTTGACATTCTCATTGTTTACTCTCTTGCTGGAAATGCTAGCTTCTCAGGATGACATTTACTAACCTATACATGTACCCAACATTCTCCCTCTTTCAGCTACCAGCTCTGTCTTATTTTTCACTATAGGGAAATACTAGTATAAGACTCTGAATTCAGTTCTCAGTAACACACACACACACACACACACACACACACACACACACAGACGTCCTTCATGCAATAGCAAGTTGGGAGCCTTTGACTTTCAAAGGGAAGCTAAAAATACCAAAGTCTCTCATTTGAGAAAAAGGAAGAAAAAGAGAGTTGGAGCTGTTCAAGCCAAGGTTCAAGTAGGCCCAGGCACAGTTCAAACTAGTTACAGTAAACCATGGTGTTGCCCATAGGAAGCTATGTTGGAGGCATGGAGAATGTAAGGGCTGTGGGGTCTTGGTAGCTTCCACCAAGATTTCAAAGGAAATGCTTGTGGTCAGGCAGTGTGCTGTGAGATCAGAGTCTGTGCAACTAGCCTTTAACAGGGCAACACATAATAGAGCTATGGGATGAAGCTAGGGCTACAATGGAGATGCAAGAAAGGTAAAGATGACAGGAATGAGCAATGGTTGTCAGGGAACACTATAAATAGCAACCAAAACCAGCCCAAAAGAGGGGTCATGTGGGCTGCAGCGAGCTGTGCTGTAGAAATGTTAGTAGTGAGGCTGTTCAAGCCTCCAGGGCCACACTCCATCACAGTGTGCTCTGGATGGCAGGCATGGAGCTTTAGGAGTTAATGTTCCTAATGCTAGGTTTTTAGTTTAGCTCTGAGCTGGTGACCTCTCTTCTAGGATTCTCCTATTCTTACTGAATAAGAATGCATACCCCATGCCTATCCCATCGCTGTATCTTGAAAATCTGTAAATTTTCTTTTTTAATTTTGCTTGGACGCACAGTTGGATTTGCGTTGAGTCTTAAAGGAGGTTCAACTTAGACGTTTGATAATTAAGACTTTGGGGACTTCTGAGGAATGACTGAATGTATTTTGTGAGATGGACCAGGATGTGAGGGTACAGCTAGAATGCTATGGCTTCGATAAGTGATTCCCAAGGGTTTATGTGTTAAAGGCTTGATCCCAAGATGCTGCCATCAAGTGGTAATAAAATATTCAGGATGTGGGGACCTTTGGGAAGGTTATTAGTTCACTAGAGGCAGGCCCTGGAAAGGATTATGAGATTCCAGCCTACTATTACCCCTTCTTAATAACAAGGTGAGAGGTTTGCTCTGCCACACAATCCTGCCACAATGTGCTGCGTCAGCAGAGGCCCAAAGTAATGGAGTTATTTAGTCTCAAACTGAAATCAAAATGCATGAGCAAAAATAAACCCTCTCTCTTTACTTGAAAAATAAAATAAAAACAAAATCACCAGGTGCCGGGGACTCACACCTGTAATCCTAGTTGATTAGGAGGCTGAGAAACAAGGATTGAGGTTAGAAGCCAGTCCATGCAGGAATAACCCCAATTGACTGCCAAAACGCTGAAAGTGGAGCTGTGGCTCAAGCAGTAGAGCACTTGCCTTTAGCAAAAAAGCTAAGGGACAATGCCCATCCCCTGAGTTCAAACTCCAGGACTGATGAGTGCGGGCAACACACACACACACACGCGTGCACACACACACACACACACACACACACACACACACACATCACTACTTAGAATCTTTTCTCCTCTTCATTAAGAACTTTTAAAGAATTGCTAATGCATGACCCTCTTTCTGTTTGTAGAATTGAGAATTCTCAAACTCATTCATGTCTTGCAGACTACAGCTGAGTTTAAGCAGACATGATGAAAGGGAGTAGGCAGAAATGATGCAAGAAGCTGTCTGAAAAAATGTTTCTAAGCTGCAAAACCCAAACGCCTTGATGCTTGTGGCAGACAACTCCAAACTTTGGATGATGTCAGAGCTGCTACCTCCTCCCTTCCCTCTCCCCACTACCCTTTTCTTTCTAAAAGATGAATGTTCTATTCAGGAAGGAAGCAAGCAAGCAAGCAAGCAAGGAGAAAGAAAGAAAAAAAATAGAGAGATGATTAGTTCTGTCAGATAAACATACCATGTTCATAGATTTCCTGTGTTATTTTTTTCTTTTCAACCAACTATAAAGCATGAATCTAGCACTGACTCAGAGATTATTAACTGCTACCAGACAAGACTAGATAAGTAGGGTAAAGTGAGGCTATGAGATAGATATTCCAGGTGAAACCTAGTATAAAAACTAGTAAAGTAAGGTGCCAAAGAAATGGGTATGGTGGGTATGGATGTGCATGTATATGATGCCTCTACACGTTGAGAAATTCTGGGAAAGAAATTTTTCTATAGCAAGTAACCCTTTCAAATTGTACACTTAAAGCATGCTCAAATGGAGAGATGAAGCTTTCTTTTCACCAAGAGAAGGCAAAGTATCTTCTACTTTACCCCCTACATTTCCTTTATAGCCAGTTTAACAGAAGACAGAAATAACTGAAGTAGCAATGTATTTTCTAAAACTCTGGGAACTTAACGTTGAGAAAGGGAATATATGGAAAGCAAGGAGCTTTGGGGCAAGAAAGGGGACAAAAGAGTGTCAGTAAG